AGTTCAGAGATAGAATGCCATTTTATTTATTTACTTAGAAATTGGGTAAATCTGCCCAAACTAGTAAAGGAAAGAAGTTTTGATGTCTTCCCCACCTTTCACTGGCCCATTACTGTCTTCGGGGATGAAGTTCTTGGCCTACCCAGCCCTCAGTGGTATTTAACCACCAGTCTCCCTCCTCCCTGCCTGCCTTGGGCTCATAGGTAGCTCCATTTTCCTGACTTTTTTTCTTCTCTTCTCCCTCCTCCTTTCCTCTCTCCTACTCTGTCTTTCCGATTGTATGTAAACACTTCCTCATTACTAGCTAGAAAAAGTTGTTGGTCATCCCTGTGTATCTGAATCAGAAGCTGAACTCATTCTGTGTGCAAGTTTTCCTGTCGTGTGCATTGGAACTATGAACCTGGCACAGTACTCAACTCCTGTTGATGGTGAGGCCCCACGACAAGCCAATAGGTTCTAACTACTTGAGGACCAGTGTCTCTTATTTATGTATTCATTTTGCATAGAGTTTTGCAGTATTGCCTAGGCTAGCCTCAATCTCTGGCATCTGTCTCGGCCTCCTGTGTGGAAGGTTTAATGGTGTGAGTCAACACTCAGCACACTGATGTCCATCTTCACTTCCTGGTTGTGGTTATTTTCCTTTATATGTACACTGGGCAGGTTTTACAGTCCGCATAGCTTACTTTGTAATGGGCAGGTGGGACCTGGCTAATTGGATATGAAACTACAGACAAAGCTCACATAATAACAGAGATCAGTGTTCATAAATGGTGGGCTGTAATTACAAATGGCTGGTGAGAGAAGGCGATGGTGGATTTGGGGGCCCTTATTTCTCCTACACTCGCAGCTGCTTTCTGGACTTTCTTTAGCATTCATCCTTGATTTTGTTTTGGGGCTGTTAGTTGTAGCTCAAGATACTTAGTCTTTCTCTTCCTTAGCAAAGTCATGTGCGGGCTCCAAATTTCATTGAGTATGGAGCACAGCCCTAAGCTCAGGAGAACAAGCTGGTTCAAAATCTCCCCTTCAGTTGCCTTAGGGAAGAGAGAGCCCCGGTAGACATCAAGATTTTAAAAAATAGTCTTTTGTTTATAAAGTCTATAAATAGTGGGCCTTAACCTCTTTTAAAGCACTGACCCGAGGGCCTGATTTATCGCAATTCAGTATACTGTCATTTCCCCTAAAAGTTGTTCACTTAGAGAAAAAGGTCAAACTTACAAAATGGTTCAGAGACCCAGGTACATATCGTGAGAACACTGATTTTGGACTGGAGAGAGGGCTCAGAGGTTAAGAGCACTGGTTGCTTCTCCAGAGGACCCAGGTTCAGTTCCCAACACCTGCATGATGGTTTGCAATCTCCCATAACTCTAGTTCTAGGGAATCGGAACCCTGGCCTCCAAGGGCACCAGATATGCATTTGGTACACATATATACACACAGACAAAATACTCCTACATGTAACAGAAACATATAATATAATATGATATATATTAAAAGACCAAATATTGCCCATACAGAAGTTTCTCAGTCTCCGTTCTCCAATTCCCCTGCTTCCTGCCTTTTGTCCTGCAGAGAGGGAGCTTCTGCTTTGGCCTCAGTGGCCCCTTCCTTTCCATGCTGTCGTGTTTTCTTTCACCGTGTGTCCCCTGTGACATGCTTATTCTGTGTAAGTTCACCTGTTCACCAAGGGCACTGTACTATACTCAGACTGCATTTCCTTCTCTTTCTGCTTCTCTTGCCTCCTCTTGCCCCGTTTAAGAATTGTACATGTGAACTGGTGGTATAGCGTCACATTTTAGAAACATATCACACTTTTTTTTATGATATTCTTTATTATTTGGGCAATGATATAAATAAAAAAATTGTATATGACCAAAAAGTATATGCTTATTTTCATGTTTAGAGAGAAGATTTTTTTATTTTATTATGTGGGTGATTTTTCTGCATGTATGTGTGTATACTACATGTGTGCCTGATGTTTTTTTTTATTTAAATTTATTTATTTATTAAGGATTTCTGCCTCGTCCCCACAACCGCTTCCCATTTCCCTCCCCCTCCCCCGATCAAGTCCCCCTCCCTCATCATCTGCTCGAAGAGCAATCAGGGTTCCCTGACTTGTGGGAAGCCCAAGGACTGCCCACCTCTATCCAGGTCTCATAAGGTGAGCATCCAAACTGCCTAGGCTCCCACAAAGCCAGTACGTGCAGTAGGATCAAAAACCCACTGCAATTGTTCTTAAAAAGGCAGAAAATCCAAAGAAAGTTGTGGGGCCAGGCAGTGGTAGTGCACGCCTTTAATCCCAGAACTTGGGAGACAGAGGTAGGTGGATCTCTGAGTTCGAGACCAGCCTGGTCTACAAGAACGAGTTCCAGGACAGGCTCCAAAGCTACAGAGAAACCCTGTCTCGAAAAACAAAACAAAACAAAAACGAAAGTTGTGGGGTCCTGGAAGCTATCCTTTCAGAGTTGAGCGCACTCAGTTGTGTTTGGTGCTGTCTGCACAGCTGTGTGGAGGGGACCGAGAATCATTGTTGGAGGTGGCAGCAAGGTCTCCTGGGATCTTGAGCTCTAGACTACTATTCTACAAGGAACATTCTGGAGGTTTCTACCAGAGGCAGCATATCTATAAAGACCAGTCCAGGGTCACAGGTATAATTTGAACAGAGGACTTTTCCTGTCGTGAATACAGCTCTGGGCTGATGGTTTGTTTTAATTTTTGTAGCGTAGGCTAACCTCAAACTTGTGACCCTCCTGCCTCAGCCTCCGGAGTTCTGCTAGAATTATAGGTGTGTGCTACCCAGTGCAGCCCTTTCAATGTTTTGTTTTTAAGGCTGAGTCTTCCTGTGTAGCTCAAGCTGACCTTGAACTCAAAGAGGTCCTGCTGCTTTTCAGGTTCTAGGATTTTATTTGTGTACCTCACCTCTCAGCCTGTACGCTGCTTCTACACAACAGTTTCAGTATGGTCCTTAGATATCCAGAAGTCTCCGAGGCTTCCCATCGTCAAAACTAAAACAACACTGGTCCATCCCTCACCACCTCACTGTGATCACTCCTGCATTGAAGGTGCAGAAGCAAAGACCAATCAAGCCCTTGGTGTTGCAGCCAAGTGTGCTGTTGTCCCCATGCTCCCCATCACCATACAGTCTTGGTAGGAAGGAACACAGAATCCTCGAGTGGGCTGACTGGGGTCACACTGTTAATCTCAGAACTGGGTGGCAGAGGCAGATGAATATTAGTCAGATGATGTTAGTCAGAGGCTAGCCTAGTCTACAGTGTAAGTTCTGGGATAGTCAGAGCTACATAGTGAGACTGTGTCTCAGAAAACAAAAATAAGCCAGGAAGTGGTAGTGCACACCTTTAATCCTAGCACTCAGAAAGCAGAAGCAGCTGGATCTCTGTGAGTTTGAGGCCAGCCTGGTCTACAGAGTGAGTTTCAGGATAGCCAAGGCTGTAGAGAGAAACCCTATCTCAAAAACCAAAACAAAACAAAAAATTTAAAAATTCACTATGTTTTTATACTTAAAAAGTTTGCATCTATGTGTATGTCTGTGTGTATTTGTGCCACAGTAAGTGTTGGAAACCCTGAATTTGGAGTTAGAGGCAGTTGTGAGCTGCTTGATGTGGGTGTGGGGAACTGAATTCAGCTCCTTTAAAAGAGTAGTACATGCTCTTAACAACAGAGCCATCTCATCAGCTCCTATTTATTACTAATATTGTGTGTGTGTATGTGTGTGTGTGCATGCACATACATGCAAGCCATGAGTAATGTGGAGGTCGGTGGTCAGAGGACATCTTTGTGGAGCTGGTTCTCCCCTCCTACTGTGTGGGTCTCAGGGATTGAACTCAGATCTTCAGGCTTGTGTGGCAGGTGTTGCACCTGCTGAGACATCTGGGCAGCCGTCTTTTTCTCTCGCTGCTGGAGTGTGCACCTGCTGCATGGTGAGCTGTAGCAGCTGCTGGAGACAAGCACTTGAACAGTCCTTGAATGTGGAGCCAAAGTGTTGCTTTCTTCATGAAATAACCATTTTCCTTCAGAAGACAACCGAGAAACAAATTGAAGTTAGTAGATTTGAGAAATTGGCAGACATTTTGTTCAAACTGAATGAAGCAAACATGACACTAAGAAAAACAACTGACAGAATTTGTTGCTAGTGACAAAATCATTCTTACAGAAAAATTACAATTTTGGGACACTACCACAACGGGCTTGACAGCTTTCCACCGTTTGGACGCCTATCTGATGAGATCACTGATGACATTCACAAATGTGTGTGTTTTAATGCTGTATAATGAAATGTGCTAAGGTTTAGAATATCTGTACAGCTCAAAGAACCAATATTTTCCGAATGAAAAATGATGATGTTCCAAAAATCACTTGAGTAAGAGTTCTGTTTCAAGTGAGCTTCTACTTCTAGCTTCCAGGCGTGACAGGAACACCTGTTAGGTGGTATCGTGTATTTTTCATGGCTTTATTAGTCGAATGGGATCATTGGAGAAATGTTCAGTCAAATCTTCAGGTTCATCAGACCCATAAAAAAGTTGGGTTAATAGTTTATTTATTTATACTTTTTGGAGACAACATCTCCTAGTTATCATAGTTATAGCTGAGAATGACCTTGATCTGCTCCTCCTGCCCCCACCTTGCAAGTGCTGGGATCACAAGTTTTGCTGTCATACTAATTGCAGGCATGCATCATCATAGCTGTCCTGGGGCTGAGTTTTTTCTTTTTAATTTTTTAAAATTTATTTATTTTATGTGGATGAATATTTTATATTCTGCATACCATGTTCATGCATGGCGTCCTTGGGGGTGAGAAAAAGGCATCAGGTCCCTTAGACCTGGAGTTCCAAGTGGTTGTGAATACCATGTGGATGCTGAGAATTGAGCCCAGGTCCTCTGCAGGGTCCACAGTGTTCTTAACCACCTAGACGACTCTCAGCCCATTGGGTTGTTATTTCGTCTCTTTCTCAGTTGCCTGACTCTGCCTCCTGCTTTTCTTGCAGTTTCATGGTGATGACATGGCATCTGCCAGTTCCAGCCGGGCAGGAGTGGCCCTGCCGTTTGAGAAGTCCCAGCTCACCCTGAAAGGTGAGTGGAATTGCTTGAAGTAGTCGAGGCACCTGTGTCTGGAGAGCAGGTCTTCTGAAGCAGTGTGTTTCAGAAGCCTGTGTTCTCAAAAGCTCACCACATTATGACTAGAGTTCTTGGAAAAGAAGGCAAATCATGGGAAAGTGAGAAAACTGGAACTTTTGGCTAAAATGTTCGGAGATGGTTGATTCCTTTGTGTCCCGGGCTCCCATCTGTTCATTAATGCTCTATGTGGTCCCTTCGAGCCTCGTGGCTTTAAATGCCTCCAGTAAAAGGTCACTCTCAGATTGCTCTCTGCAGCCCAGACCTTCCTTGGAACTCCCAACTCGTGTATCTAGTAGCCGACTGTCATCCACTGGTGACCACAGAAAAGTGCCCATGTCTGGAACCACACTCTGGACTTTTTATTCTCATAGCTGGCATTAACCTAGCAGTGAAACTGGCCTCTGGCACTCAGTATTCCTCCCGGCTCCCAGTCGTGCCGACCCCTAGCCGATGGCGCTCTGTTCTGGGCTGCAGTCTGCAGACCTGCCTCTCTGATTTTGCCCTTTGCCTTCTTTCGTTCAGGCTGTAGTTACAGCAGGCAGTAGTCTTGTTGCAGTAAGACACCAACTCTCTGCATTTCAGTGTTCTCGTGTGTGTCCTGTTACCTTCTGCAGTCACTTCCTGGGTCATCTGGCCTCCTAACTACCTGGAACTCACATGGCAGGCCTCTACCTCTGGGCCTTTGCGCTTGCCATCTCTGAAATAACTTGCTTGGGTCTTTACCCAGAAATCCCCATTCCCTGGTCTACGTATATAATAGCCACAACTGCCAGCTTCCTCAAATGTGTCCATCCCCACTTTATTATTTCCTTTTCAAGATTGTAATTGTTTAACACCAAATGCTTATATTACAGATACTTGGAGGTTGAACCTAGGGCCTCAGATTTTGACCACTTTGACTTGGGGAATGCAGCTCAGTTGGTAGGTTGGTAGAGTTTGCCTAGAATACACGAAGCCCCGGGTTCAATCCTACTGAATAAATTGGGTGTTGTGGTGCATGCTCATATCCCAGAACTCCAAAGACGGGGCAGATTAGAAATCCCAAGTCATTCTTAGCTACATAGTTTGGGATCCCGGATCTCATTCGTTTAGGTGGGGATACCACACCAAACCAACAACAAAAACTAGGGAAAGAGCTGGGTGTTTGTGATGCACGTCTTTAATCTCAGCACTCAGGAGGCAGAGGTAGGCAGATCTGAGTCTGAGCCCAGCCTGGTCTACAGAGTGAGTTCCAGGACACCAGGGCTATACAGTGAAACCCTGTCTCCATAAACAAACACAAACAAGACAATAAACAATAAAACAAACGGTGAAAAAGAGCTAAAGGATAAAAACGAAAATCAAAACAGCAGCAACAAAAAATCCTGTCCTTGTTGAGCTGCGAGAGTTGGCTTGGGAGAGTTGTTTCTAGCTTCAGCCCTGCCTTTTACTAACTCTGATTTTAGATAAATTAATTCACCTCCCTGAATCTTAGATGGCTCAACTATGAAGTAAAGGGTTTAAACCCTCTCCCTAAGATTTACTTATTTTTTTTAATGACTGTTTGCCTGCATGTATGTGTGTTTCCGAATGCATGTCTGGTACCCATGGAGACTGGAAGACAGCATCAGTTCCCTGGAACTGGAGTTACATATGGCTGTGAGCAGTTGTGAGGGTGCTAGGACTGGATTCAGGTCCTTTGCCAGGGCAACAAGTGTCCATAACCACTGGACCATCTCTCCGGCTCCCCCTTTTACTTTTTGTTTTTGTTTTTTTTTTTGAGACAGGGTTTCTCTGTGTAACAGCCCTAGCTGTCCTGGAACTAGCTCTGTAGACCAGGCTGGCCTCGAACTCAGAGAAGCCTGCTTCTGCCTCCTGAGTGCTGGGATTTAAAAGTGTGTGCCACCACTACCTGGCTTCCAGCCCCCTTTTTTGAGGCAGAGTTTCACTACGACTGGTCTGGTCTGGAATGGTGTAAATTAGTCTGGCCTGGAACTCATAGAAATCCACCCTTTGCCCCCTGAGTGCTGGGACTAGAGGTGTATGCCACCACGCCTGGCAGGAACTTGCTGATTTTAAAGAAACTGTCTAGGGGCTGGAGAGATGGCTCAGTGGTTAAGAGCACTGCCTGTTCTTCCAAAGGTCCTGAGTTCAATTCCCAGCAACCACATGGTGGCTCACAACCATCTGTAATGAGGTCTGGTGCCCTCTTCTGGCCTGCAGACATGCACACAGACAGAATATTGTATGCATAATAAATAAATTAATTTTTTTTTAAAAAAAGAAACTGTCTAGGACTGATTAAAACTTGTCCCTATTTTTAAAGTTAAGATATGCAGCTCTCCTATCTCACCACCAGGTGGCCTCAGATAGCCTCGATGTTCGTGTAAAGCGGTACATGCTCCACTTAAGTCTGTGACGACCCTTTATTCTCTGCCCACCACTGTTGCTTGACTCTTAGCCCCCAAAAGAGTTTTTGTTTTGTTTCTTATGTCCTCCCTACTATTGCTTTTAGGTTTATAATAGTTACTGTTTCAAACAACCTGAGGGTGGCTCTGAGCTTTGTCAAGTTGTAGAACTTTGTAGAGCTTGTCACCTCCCTGAGGGGTCTGGGAAGGAGCTGAGCTTACTTCGTAACAGGGCCCTCAGTGGAGATCAGTCTTGTCATGATGGGTGAGGCCCATCAGTTATCCTCTGATTTAGGTACAGGGTTGATGGCGTCTAGGTGTGCTTCTTCTGATCGGCTTGGAGTTCCGCTGGGAGACATGAATGCTGCAGGATATATGCCCCTGGGAAATAATAGTCGTTGGCTTTATGTTCTATGTGTTTTTACCAGTTTGTTGGTGACAAGTGACTATCACAAGGACTCCTGTGTGCTAGGCTTGGTGGTATGCCTGTAATCTCGGTACTCAGGAGACAGAGGCCATTTTCAGCTGCTTATAAGTTCAAGTCAGTCTGGGCTGCACAGCAAGATGCTACTTAAAACCAGGAAACAAATAAAAGAAAACCAAAATGAAAGAGGAAAGAGAGGACAGAAATGAAAGACAGAGAGACAGAGGGTAGGAGATTGAGAGATTGATTGAGATTAATTCTCATGAAGGCTGGTAACTGAACAAGCAATATAGGTGTCTGACCATCATGGAGTTTGTTCAGTCTTATTGCTATGGAAGAAAAGTGGCAGAGGGGAGATATGCAAAGCCCAGGAATGGCATACAGCTGGGGTGGAGTCAGGCTGTTGGGGGCACTTTCTGGCTCATAGTTCCTTCTTTATGTAACTGGAGAAGTGACACTGCCCCCCCCCCCCCACACACACACTGTGGCCCAGACTGATCTAGAGCTCACTCTGTAGCCCAGGGTGGACTTTTGAGCTCAACGTGATCCTCTTATTTTGGCCTCTCAAGTCAGTGGGATTATAGGCCTGAGTGACTTTGTCTGGCTTTTTTGTTTTGTTTTTTGAGAGTAGCCCTGCCTGGCCTGGAACGCTCCACGAAGACCAGGCCAGCTTTGAACTTATAACAATCCTGCTGCTTCTTCCAACAGCTGGGGTTGCAGGTTTGTCCCCATACCCAGCCTTAGTGGGCTCTCTTTCCAAACCTCTTTCCTCCTGGACACAGGTGATAGTCTATTCCTCACTTCCTGAGTTGGTTGTGAGGCTTCAGGTCGAGGATGTGTGCACTGCAGTGTCCTAGTCACTGTTGAACGTTAGTGATTGTCCTTTGGCTATTTCTAAAAAACCTGTGTGCTTTGCAAAGAGTGGGGAAATAGCACTCAACTTTGCAGTGTGGTCAAAGGGCTGCTCAGGGCACCACGGGGAGTGCATGCGGGCTTCCAGAGAAGCCCCTGCAGCTGCTCAGCAATGCCTGTGAGCAGCATTCTTGCTGACCGTCACCGAGTGAGGAGCTCACAGTCATCCAGCAGTGTAAAAACTTAACACAGCCGTGCAGTAGGTTGTGTGACATTTAAAAGTTGGTTTGGGGGTACTGGGATGTAGGCCAGCAGGCAAAGCACTTTGCTATCTCATGTGGTTTTAGGTTAGAAGTGAATTTTTTCCCTTTGCGTTTCCGATTGTTTATATAGCCATACTTTTTTTCTTCTTTGTTTATGCCCTTTTTTTGTTTCTTATTTTAAAAATCATGTGTGTGTGTGCGCGCGCATGTGTGTACAAGCATGTTGAGGTCAGAGGACAACCTTGGGTATCATTACTCAGGCACTGTCCACTTGGTTATTTGAGACAGAATCTCTTGCCAGAACCTGGAACTTGCCAATTAGGCCAGCCTGGCTGACAATTGACCCCAGGGGACCTGCCTGTCTGTGAGATTACAAACAGTATTGCCACACCACACCTGGCCTTTTACATGGGTACTGGGGATGGAAATAAGGTTCTCAGGCATTCATAGCAAACATTGTCCTGATTGAATTATCGCTATGTAATTCTTAAAAAGTTTTTTTGTTTTTTTTAAAGAAGACAAAACAAAACAAAAGAAAAAGATCCTTTAAAAGGAAATAACCGAAAGGAGCCCCGGGGACAGGTAGGGTACTGACTCATCTGTTTTTGTTTTCCATCCCTTCTAGTGGTGTCAGCAAAGCCCAAGGTGCACAACCGCCAGCCGAGAATCAACTCCTATGTAGAGGTGGCAGTAGATGGCCTCCCCAGCGAAACCAAGAAGACTGGGAAGCGCATCGGGAGCTCTGAGCTTCTCTGGAATGAAATCATCGTTCTGTAAGGACATTGCTTTAGAATGTAGAAGGCAGGGTAGGAGAGAGCGCTGGGGGTTGCAGACTGCACTGCCCTTGGCCCCCCCATGGTGCTCCTCTCTTAGGTGTTTGTAACTCATTGAGCTCACAGAGCACTCATTATTAGCTAGGGGCTTACAGGTCAGTGTGTGAGCTGTGAATGTGACTGTCTTCTTGTTTTGTCCCCTGCAAGATGTGAGCAATGCAGCTTTCAGCAGTTTGTTCCATGTTAAAGGGGTGACCTGCTCATATTCTGGGCTGTGATGAGACACTTATTTGTTTTCCAGGAATGTCACAGCCCAGAGTCATTTAGATCTGAAGGTCTGGAGCTGTCATACCTTGAGGAATGAGCTACTAGGCACTGCCTCTGTCAACCTCTCCAATGTCCTGAAGAACAATGGCGGCAAAAGTACGTATGATTCATGTCTGCCCAGGGAGGCTATGGCAGCCAGTCCTAGGACTGACCATAGTATCACTGCTCCTTACAGACCACTTACGGAGTTTGAGGAAGGCAGGCAGGCTTTAGCATGCTTGGTGCAGGGACTATAGGATGCAGGACTGTGTCCCCTAATTCTTCTTTGGGGATGGAGGCTCTCCTTCTACCCACTTTCTCACTCAGGAGACATGTGATACATTGAATAAAACTGTCAAATACCTCCAGCTGAAATCATTGCTTTTTTTCCTCTGAGCCCTGGAATAGAACAAAGGCGCTGTGTGCATATGTGTGAGTTCTGTGTTTGGGATAGGGTTACAGATGGTGCCCTGGCCTCCTAGACTCTCAGTAGGCCTTACTGGCTGTTGGGATGTGACAGCAGCTCCATCTGAATTATCGAGTGTGCCTCTGCTGTCCGGACATATAAATCCTCAAGTCTGTTCCTTGCTGTTTGTGGCCAGTGGCCTAACCCACGCCTGTGGGCTGTGGACCCTCCCTCATAAAGCCTCTATTCAGAGCAGTGCCATATGTGGAAGCCAAATGCCGTAGAAAGAAAGACTCCTTTTTCTCCTGTTGCCTACTGTCGAGAAAATATTTTTTGAAGGTGGACTTAGCCTAAAGTGAGACATCGGGGCGGGGGTGTTGAGGCTTAGGGAGGGCAACTGCAGCAGTTTGCATCTTTTTCTTCAGGGTCCATCGTTCTGTCGGGCTGCTTGGGAGGTCTCGGCTCCTCCTGTGCTCTGTTCCTTTCTGCTGGACACACAGTGACACAGTGAAGGATTGTTTAAGATCAGGGACATGTCTGTATTTTGGTTGTTTCGTCATTTGAATTGATGTGTGTAATATATGTCTGTGCATGTGTGTGTTCATATGTATGCATACATGTGGTGGTCAGAGGCCAATCACAAGTGTCATTTCTCAGACACCATCAACCATAGTTTTTGTGAGAGACCTGGAGCTCACCCAGGTTAGACTGGCTGGCCAGCAAGTCCCTGAGATCCTCTTGTCTCCCTTGCCCGGGGCAGCATTATAGGCATGTGCACTGTGCCGGGGGTTTTGTGGGTCCCGGGGATTTATGCAGGTCTTCATGACTGTGTGGCCAGCATTTTGCCAGCTGAGATGCACGCCCCACCAGGCTTCCCCACCACTTTTTTGGTGTAGAATTTCATGCAGTCAAGGCTAATCTCACACTCTGTGTAGCAGAGGAGGACCTTGAGTTCCTTATCCTCCTGCCTCCACTTCTCAGATGTTAGGATCAATAGACAATTTGATCTTTATTTTTCCAATTCTTAGTCTGCTTTTTGTGATTTCAGGGTTATATTTATTATACTTGTGGACTTTCTCACATTAAAACATAGCACCAGGACTGGGAGGATGTCTCAGCAGGTAGAGATACTTGCTGCTGGGCCTGAGAACCCACATGGTGGAAGGAGAGAACAGATTCCCACAAGCTGTCCTCTGACCTCTAATGCTGTGCGCGCGCATGCACGTGCTGCCTAACTGTACTTTAAAGAACTAACGGCGGGGAGCTGGAGAGATGACTCGGGTTAAAGAACTCATACTGCTCTTGCAGAGGACCTGAATTCAGTTCCCAATGCTTGTGTGGGCAGCTCGTAATTGCCTGTAATTCTAGCTCTGTACATTCTTCTAGCTTGTGTGTACACATATACAAACACGCATAATTAAAATTTGTTTTAAATCCACAAGTCTGGGATTAAAGGTGTGCACCATCACAGCCCGGCCAACTCTGAGTTTTAAAAATAATAGTGTACTGTTTTCAGTTCTTTTGGAATTGCTTGCTGGTGGTGGGGAAATTCTGTTTGGTTTATAAAGGTGCTAGAGATTGATTCCAGGCTCCTTGCATGCTAGGCAATGCTCTACAACTTAGTCTTCATTTTTGAGGGGCTTTTCTATTGTTTCATACATCTTTTGCTCCATAAAAGGTATCACTATATCTTTAATTATTTTTCTAAAATCCAAATTTTGGTAGCTTTCTGGTATGCAGCTGTTTGAAAACTGAGGATAAGCATTTGAATACTTTTCAGTCTTCAGCAGGTAGGAAAGCAATGGTATCTCACAAGTTTGTGAGTCTCCGTGCTTATGGCTGAAGGTTTACTCAGGATAAGTTCCTGAACATGAATTGGCTAAGTTTAAACATTTTTCAATTTTATGGACCCATGTTGCCAAAAAGTTTTGTCAGTTTATCTTCATATCAGCAATGGCTGTGTTGCTGGTTTCTATTGTACTGAGGCGTGCAGTAGATTTTATTTATTTATTTACTAATTTGCTTGTTGAGAAAGGGTCTAATATCCCAGAGCTGCTGTTTGGTTTTTGCAGCTGCTACTGTACACTACTGTCCAGCCACCTGTTTTCTGCTGTAATGGCACCAGCTTTTCTACTGTTTTCTACCTGTTTTTTTAAGTTCTAAATCAGAAAAGTATAATTTTTAATCTCTTTTTCTTTAGTATACTCCCCAGAAGCCTAAGCATGCTTTTTCCAGTCAGTGCAGCTACTTGACAGCCTCGTTTGTTGGACACAACAGCTTCCTCAGACCCTCACTCACAAGGCACATTTGCTCTTTTCTAGCTCCCTTCCCTTCTTTTGGCAGCTGCCAAGATTTGAGCCTTGCTTGCCCTGAAGTGTTTCTTTTAAATTTTGATAAAATTGTCCTAGAGCAGTGTTCTCAGCCTTCCCAGTGCACTGCTCTCTAATACAATCCCTCATGCTGTTGTCACCCCAACCTTAAAATTATTTTCGTTGCACTTTATAACTATAGTTTTGCTGCTGTTATGAATTGTAAACATCTTTGACCCCTGTGAAAGCGTCATTCAGCCCACAAAGGTGTCACAACCATGAATTGAGAACCACTGTTCTAGAGCTTAAAAAAGAATATTTTTAAATTTTATTTAACAATTATTAGTACTTTTCGTTAGCTGGGTGTGATGATGCACACCTGTAATCCCAGCATTCAAGAGGTGGGAGCCGGAGGATCAGGAGCTCAAGGACAGCCTAGGTTACAGGAAATCATATAAAACACAAAAATAAAAAGGAAATACTTTTTTAAAATTTATTTGTGCTGTGTGTTATGTGTCTTTGTGTATGTCTGCGCACATGTATGTGGGGTACTCTCAGAGGCCCCAGGAGCTAGAGTCACAGGAAATTGTAAGCTGCCTGACGTTCGTGCTGAAAACCAAGCTCTAGTCCTCTGCAAGAGCATCAAAGTATTCTTAACAACTGAGCCATCTCTGAAGCCCCATTTGCTTCTTTTAAATATTTAGAGTGTATATTTGTGTGTGTGTGTATGCTTGTATGTGCCAGCTACCACACTGGTCTGTGATTTTTCTTCAGTTTATTGTACAAACTTTCCAGGCTATATTTAAGCATTCAAGGCTGATTATTCCTGGAAAGTTTGGTTAGATTCCTTTATTAATACCAGTTTAGGAATTTTCCATCAGTATTCCTAGTGACATCTGTAATTTTTTTTTTTTTTTGGCTCTTCCGTTTTTGTCAGTTTTAAAGTTTTAAAAAGTAAGCTTTTTTCTTTCTCTTCTTTTTTCTTTTTCTTTTTCTTTTTGGTTCTTTGAGACAGGGTTTCTCTGTAGCTTTGGAGCCTGTCCACGTCAAACTCACAGAGATTCATCTGCCTCTGCTTCCTGAGTGCTGGGACTAAAGGTGTGCGCCACCATTGCCTGGCTAAAAACTAAGCTATTTTAAAAGTTATTTTTATTAATTTTTTAAAAGATAGGGTCTTACATCAAGGCCCAATTTATTATATAGCCCAGGCTGGTCTTAGAATTGCAGCAATCCCTGAGTCAGCCTCCTGAGGGCTGGGATTATAGGCTCTCAGTACCTGACTTTAAGGCTAATTTTCTAACGTGAATGGAAGCACTTACCCACTGTGGGAACAGACTGCAGGCAGCATGGGAATTAGCTGTTCCATGAGTGCAGGAAAGAGCCCAGGCATGAAACCAACCAGGCCTGGCATCTTCATTTGAATAATTTTTTGATGACTTCAGTCCATACACCCCTTTCCATAATTATTGGTTTATTCAACTTTCCTGGTTCATCTTGAGTCAGTTTTGTTAATTCTTTTTTTTTCTGAGAAAAATCGATTATGAACTCTTATGTTTATTAGTATAGGATTTTAAACAGCGTTTTACTTAAGTTTTTCCCAATCTGCCTCCACCCCCAACACTTATTTAAACTGTTCTGTTTTACCTTTTTTTCTTGCCTCATTACTGGAGACTGATTCAGAGCCTCTTTTACATGCTAGGTAAATATACCACCACTGAGTTACAGCTCCAGCCCTGTCCTCTCCTCCCATCTCCTCTCTTTCCCTCCCCTCCTGTACCTTCCCCTCTCTTCTCTTTGTCTCCCCTCCTATACCTTCTCTCCTCTTCTTTTTCTGTGATGCTGGGTCAAAGCCAGGGTCTCATGCGTGCTAGACATTGGCTTCATCTCTTGCTGCCATTGCTTGTTCTGGCGTGAGCTGTAGTACATTGTGTGTGTGGCTGGGTGGGCAGGAAGCCATCCGATGAGAATCAGACAGGAAATATAGGTCATAACAGGGCAGTGGGCTGCCTTTCCTTAGAGAGACAAGTGTTTGAGCAACAGTAGCATGGTATGTCTGCATGATATTCTGGTCACATTTCATAAAGCTCTTTTGGCATACATTATAAAGAGAGGTGACCTATCCCTATCTAACATGTATTTTGTTTTGTTTTTCTTGAGATCGGTTCTCATGTAAATGAAACTGTCCTCAAACTTGTTATGGAGCTGAGGATGACTTGAGCTGATCCTTGTGCTTTAATCTGGGTTAAAGTTAATTCCTTTATGTAATATATGGGGCTATTCTTTTTCTTTTTTTCTTTTTTTTTTTTTTTTTTTTTGCGTATTTTTCAAGACAGGGTTTCTCTGTAGCTTTGAAGCCTGTCCTAGAACTAGCTCTTGTAGACCAGACTGGCCTCGAACTCACA